ATGGTGTATGGTGTGGTGTATGGTGTGGTGTATGGTATGGTGTATGGTATGGTGTATGGTATGGTGTGGTGTATGGTAATACCATACACCATACCATACATTTATTTATAAAGCACTTAAAAAAGCGACAAGGCCAACCAAAGTGCTGTACAGACAGAACAACAGACAACACACGAAGCAAAATACAAAATGAGGTGAATCAGAATATAGACATAAAAACGATGCAGATAATGACGACAAACCAGTGTGGAGCATACAGGATCAAAATACAGATCATCTGGTGTTGAAAGCTACTGAATAGTAGTGAGTTTTTAAACGGGACTTGAAAACCGAGAGGGAGGGGGCCTGTCTGACAAACAGAGGTAACTCGTTCCAGAGTCTTGGTCCTGCTACAGAGAAGGCCCTGTCACCTCTGTGCTTAAGATGAGATCCTGGAACTGTGAGGAGCAACTAGTCCGCTGACCTCAGGGAGCGTGGTGGGACATACGGTTGTAGCAAATCAGAGAGATGGGGGGGGCGACACTGTTCAGTGATTTGTAGACATACATGAGTATTTTGAACTGGATTCGAAAGTGAACCGGTAACCAGTGCAGTGAAGCCAAAACTGGTGTAATGTGCTCTCTTTTGCCTGTACTGGTTAAAAATTGGGCTGCTGCATTCTGGACCAGTTGTAGTCGTGCAATGGAGGTTTGACTGATACCAAACAGGAGTGAATTGCAGTAATCAAGCCTAGATGTAATGAATGCATGTATTGCTGAATCCATGCTATTTTTGGACAATATGGGCTTCAATTTAGACAGCCGCCTCAGTTGGAAGAAGCATGATTTTACAATCATGTTTACATGATTGTTAAGTTTCAGGGAAGGGTCCATTATCACTCCCAGATTAGCGACTCTTTGTTTTTCTGACAGGGTTAGAGCGGAAAGGTCGATGCAGTGGTTTGTGATCGTGTCGTTGGGAGGGAACAACATGACTTCAGACTTCTTTTCATTGAAACTTAAAAAGTTTAAAGCCATCCAGTCCCTGATGTCAGCCAGGCAGTTGAGCAGCGGTTGAATAGAGCATGTACCATTGTGTCTTAGGGGGAAGTAAATTTGACAGTCATCGGCATAGAAGTGGAAAGGCATGTTGTGTTTCCGGAAAATAGCACCAAGCGGCAGCAGGTATAAAGAGAATAGGAGGGGACCCAGGATGGACCCCTGCGGAACCCCCCATTTAAGCTCTGCCTCTGCGGAACTAAAATCCTTGATGGAGACACAAAAGGATCTGTCAGCGAGGTAAGATCTGAACCAATTGAGGGCTGATCCTGTGACGCCCACCCACTGCTCCAACCTAGCAATGAGGATCTGATGGTCTATGGTGTCAAAGGCGACTGTGAGGTCCAACAGGACAAGCAGCACAGAATCACCGGTATCTGTGAATCTGAAGATGTCGTTAAAGACCTTCAGCAGGGCAGTTTCAGTGCTGTGGAGAGGTTTAAAGCCAGATTGGAAAAGCTCTAAGATGGCGTGATCCTCCAGGAAGCACTTCAACTGGGACTCGACTATTTTCTCTAGTACTTTAGAAACAAATGGGAGTTTGGAGACAGGCCGGTAGTTGGAAATGACTGAGGGGTCAAGGTTTGGTTTGGTATGGTGTATGGTATGGTGTATGGTATGGTGTATGGTGTATGGTATGGTACGGTATGGTAAACCCAGTAGGGCCTTGAATATTAGTCATCCTGTGTGTATACATGTGTGCTCTCAGAGAAGAGCAACCAGATTTACAGCTAACAGGAGGCGACTATAACCAGTGGGCACTGTGGTGGACAGTGTCCTACAACTGGAAACATCTGGACACTCTTACAGCACCACCTTTTCCACCCACATTTTCTTATGTTATCAGTTTGGGGAGATAAACCGGTGATCACAGGCTCGCCTTCTCTTAACCTCTGCGCCACTTCTCCTCCATTTGATTTTCTCTTCGGTGGATTTGATCAAATCCATACGACTATCTTTTAGTTTGTGTCTCACCTTTTTGTCAGCATACTTCATGTATCCAACCTTCCTTCCTGGCACCAAATGGACCTCGATAAGAGAACCGAAGCGGCTGCAGAGAGAGAGAGAGAGAGAGAGCAGTGAGGTCTCCAGTGCTGCCTCAAGATTCATTTTATAGCAGCATTATGTCGTCATTACAACCACTTGGCTGAATGTTCTTGTCCTGAGCAACAACCTCAGTCACAATGGACTGAACCTTTGACCTGCTGCTAAGTGTGGTCATTTTGTGGCAGCATGTGTACCTAAATCATGAGAATGTTTTAGTTTTATAAAATAATACTGCTGAGAACAGTAAGTTTACCAGTAAATGTCCTCCAGCACGTCGTGGGGCAGGGGGGAGGGGTGGAACACGACAAACAGGCGCTCTCTGGCGATGCTGTCGGATGGAGCAAGCTTCTTCTGAGGCGGCAGGTTAACGTCTGTCTGAAGTCGAGATGCTGATGAGCACGATGAGTAGCCCTGGGGGAGACAGGATAAAGGATGTAAAGTGTAAATTTAAAAGGGCCGGAGCACGTTCATGTATCATGAGTAGAATATAAATGGCACAAAAAAATACACTTCAAAAACAAACAAACAAACAAACAAAAAAAACAGAGAACAGATAAACAGCAGTCCCTCATTTATCGAGAGGGATCCGTACCCTGAAGCAAAACCGCAAAGTAGGAATAGTAGTACAAGTTTATTATATATATATATATATATATATATATATATATATATATATATATATAAATATTAGGGCTGCAACAACGAATCGATAAAATCGATAAAAATCGATGATTAAAAGCGTTGGCAACGAATTTCATTATCGATTCGTTGTGTCGTGCGATTATGCGTCTTTCACGGCGCTGCAGAGCCGTTTCGTTTTGTTCACCTGCAGTTCATTGTCAATGCTGACTGACTGAATAAAGTTTGAAAAAAAAAACTCTGCAGCGCAAGTTGAACAGAGCGAGGAGGAAACAAAGCAGAGTGTTTTCAAAGGAAAATAAGTAAATTTTACAAATGACCGACGTAGCAAAAACTGTTCGACCCAAGTCCTTCAAAGTTTGGGAGCTCTTCACAAAGATAAAAAATGAGAATCATGCCGCTTTGAAAATCACCGACACGACACGAGAGAACCACACTGATAAACGTAAACATGTCGGAGTCACGAGGAGGAGGAAGGAGCTGCAGCTGATACAACTCTTCATGTGTTGCAGGTGAGTCTCTACAATTTAACACTTTGTTCTGTTTCAAGAGAGAAATCGTAACGTCAGTCTGTCTGGTAGATGAAGCTGTTTGTTTGTTTGTTTGTTTATCTGATTAATGACGGTGATAGAGAACGTGTGTGTTACTTTTAATTTAATTGGAACAAGCAGTGTTTAAATGTGATTTATAAATAAATCTAACACAAAGATAATAATTTAATGATTAAACTTCAACTTTTAATTTGCTGGCAAAGTCTGAAGACACTGCAGGTATGGCAGGATGAATTGCATTTAAACAGGAATTAAAGTAATTTATTACATCTACTCAAATGTGTGTAATTAAGTATTTTATATATATGTGTGTGTGTGTGTGTGTGTGTGTGTGTGTGTGTGTTTAATTGCTCTTTTAGCTACTTTTGCCTGAACCTAACGCTGTAAGTCAAACAAGACATTTCTTGAGATGATGTAAATTATGATATAATACATATTTACTCTCTCATTCCAGAAAACAACAACAAACAAAAACACTTCATGATGGACAGACATCATGGACACCACAGCAGCAGCTGTCTTCACTGAAACATCCTGAACATGATCGTCACTGACATGAGGCCTCTGTCGATGGTTGAAGACGAAGGCTTCACTACAATAATCCACACTTTTAATCCAGGTTACAATGATCCACACTTTTAATCCAAGTTACAATAATCCACACTTTTAATCCAGGTTACACTCTTCCCTCAATGACACATTTTGCAAAGTAGCTACATATTGTGCAGGTATAAAGATACATTTGTATATATTTTTGTGTACATTTATTTTTTTAAGCTATTTGACTAACTTTTATTTTTATTATTCAATATTTTACTAACAGAATAGTCAAATAGCAACCTGTTTTTTGTGTGAATTGCTTTGTCAGTCAAATGTTCAATTTTGGAATAAAGGGGTGGAAATTAAAAAGTTGGGGGGGGGGGGGGGTTGCCGATTCATCGATTAATCGAAAAAATAGTCGGCCGACGAATCGATTGTTGAAATAATCGTTAGTTGCAGCCCTAATAAATATATAAGGTGTTTTAAAGCCTTCCCACACTCTTGCAAAATTTTAAACAATGTTTCTAAACTTTAAAGCTCTAAGAGCACAGAATGTCATGATTTCAGCTCGGTGCCTCGTCTGTTTTCTGCCACCTGCAAGCGCTCTTGGCCACGCCCACTTCTCTGCTCTGCACAAAGAACAGCTGATCAGCTCCAGCAGGAAGTAAATCCTGCAGTAAAATAATAATTTAAAATAATTTGTCTTAAATAAAAATTTCATGGTGATTGTGCGGCTCATCCATCAATCAGCCAATTGTGTGTCATGTCCACTCTTATTTTGAAAAACCGCAATGGAGCGAGTCCGCAATAAATGAACCACGAAGTAGTGAGGGACTACTGTAATTACCAAGTTTAAGGCAATAAAATTACATAATCCTGGATAGAGTTATGAAAAAAGGTGACAATAAATAACGTGTTCAAGGAGAGGAACACAGACCATGAAGAGTGTTGTACACGAGTCAGATGTCGTTAAATTTAATCGTGCTTTCCCACGATAAAAACTGTGGTGAGCTGAAACTCAACAATCATATAATTGTGACTTGTTGAATATTTTCCATGCTTGTTCATAATTTATTTTTATTGACTTCAGTGTAGTTTGTCCTGTTTTGAGTCCAATGTGAGAATTTCATTCATGAACGTTTTCGGTGCTTTAGTTCTAAAATTGTTCATTTAGTGTTTGTGTTCAAATGAAAGTGTAGACATACTGGACATTTGGCAATAATCAGCTGACCAGTTTTATTGATTTAAAGCAGAAAATGTACATAATATGCTGTGAAATTAAAAATAAATGAGCAGTAAAAAGGGTTAGCAGAGTGATTTGATGCAACAGGTGTGAACTCACAGGTTTCATCATCTGGAGGCCGGAGGCTCCGTTCCACGTCGACGTCATTATTTGAGTCTGAACAAACTGCTTTGACATCCGACTGACAGAACTGCACAAAACAAGAGAAGTGGGATTCATTTCAGACGCTGCTGCTTTGAAACGTCCTCCACAGCCGTTTAAACCAACCTAAACATCAACAACTGATTTTAACAAACATCAATCTGAAACAAATCTTTGGCTACATGAAGCGAAGACATTTAGCTGCTTTGGAAATGATAAAATGCTCCTCCAGGACACAAATATGAAATTATTGTTCACTGGAAGAATTTAAATTTTACTTTTATTTGACATTGCCCCCCCCCCCCACACACACACACACACACACACAAAAAGCTGCAAAACAAAGCACTGTTCAGATGTAAAAAAAAGAAGTAACTTTTATACCTAAAATGACAATTTTGTCACTACAGAGAGCAAAATATTTTAAAACTGACGAAAGTACAAGTGAAAAAAACATGAATATGTATTCTGTATTATTATTACACCTGAAAATACATTTTATTATTCCACTGAACTCTAGAAGTAAATGTCAGTAAAAGTGAGGAAATGATTGTACTTTTGGTTAAATTTGTCCTTTTTTACTTTTATCGTGTACTAGTGTAAGAAATAAATATCGTCCCCATGATTTATTTAGAGGAGTGGCTAATACGTTATTGTTTCCATTTATTTTTTATATTTTAATTTGACAGGCTTCCTGTCATCTCTCGGCACTGACTAACATTTTCCTTTGACAGAGCTGGGCGCTCCTGTATCTGCGCAGCACCCACCCCTCCTGTGCCACAGAGTAAACGCCTCAGGTAATCACATGTACCAAACCTCTCACTCAGGGTTTCAAATTTCCTACCATAACTCCGCCCACTCTGTCATCATGTGACCATAAGTCCAACTTTAGACGTACTCTTGAGGACCATCTCCCAAAATAGACGTGCATTAATTTCTTCAGTTATTATTCATATAACTAAAATCAATTAGTTAAAAAAAACACTTCATACTTTTGTCTTATTTCTGGGAGTGATGACGCGTTTTAAGTAAAAAAGGGAGGAGCAAAAGCAGAAGTTTGTACCCCCCCCTGTTAGAAATGGGGGAGCAGCTCCACCTGCTCCAGCTTGTCGACTGTTTTCACAGATTATTTCCAGCAGGTCCTGCTCCAGTTCGCTCTAAATGTTGCTGTCAGAACATTTACCAGTCTGTGGCACTACAGACCAAACATCAAGACTACCTGCTCGCTGTTACCCACCAACATTAACTAATTAATTATGAACAAAAGCTCATGCAGACAGTTCGTTGTCTGGGGCACTTCAGCTTATTCAGTTTGTAGAACATATTTAGATGATGGCTTTAAAAGCATCTTGACCTTTCTACAGCTGCTGAGTGAATGCCGAGTGCTGTGTGGCCCAAACGCTTGTGTATACTCACCTCTCTCCATCGTCATGGAAAAACACCTGGATTCTGTTTCCAGGCGGATACTCAAAGCCGTTGAGCTTTTCTTTGGCATAAATCGCTGAACCAAGGTTACTGTAGCGGATCAAAGCGTAGCCTGGAGGCACATGACACAGAAAAGCAGTTTTACAGGAAATGCTATCAGTTCACAGTCAAACCGCTTTAGGTACCGTCTCACTGGACTGTGACTGTTAGAGACTAGCTGCAGACACAAAACTCCAAGAAAATATTTACAGTTACACTTGGAAATGAAAAGAACTGATACAGTTGCAAACTCTCAGTAAGATTTAAATTCAGAGGTACTGTGTATACAGATCAACAAATAAGGCACTTGTTGGGAACTAAACTGAAAAAGGACCAGTACAGCAGCATACAGCTATATTGAGTTGGGGGGGCGTTAGGCACCTCATGATAGGACTTCATTACAGTTCAGAAGGCATGACGTAGTTATAAAATGATAATTGATGCACCTGGATCATCTATGAAGATCATGGAGTGGAATCAATTAATTCACATCTGTCTGTGTTCACACCAGTTCACTGAGGCCGAGGGAGACACCAAAGTTCAGACGTCATCTCCCCGCGCCGTGCCGCAAATCAGTATATTGCACTAAATACAAAGTTTACGTACAAATGTTCACCCCCCGGCTCCACCTCTCAGCATGTCTCTAAATAAAATCAAGTTAGCTCATCCAGTACCAACACCTTGTTACTACAACTCTGTGCAGAATTGAATGTTTGCAGCTGAAACGGACCCAGAGAGAAACAGAGGCACGTCTTTGGTATGATCTGGGGAATAGAAATGTTCTTCTTTTAGTGTTCATATTGTTTAATTATAAGAACTCAGTGTTTCCCCTAACATTAGACAAGTGGGGCGCCCCGGCCAACAGAACCAAGCTTCTTGCCTACCGAACACCACCCCCCAACCCCATCAAACAACTTACGTGGGGCGCAAGACAGACATGCTAGCAAAAATGCTACTGATGTAGCACCCCCACCCCCCCAATAAAAACCGGCAGCACCGTAGCACTAAACTAGCAGGCGAGCAACAGACGTGACTCCGTCCCTTGTCTTGGACACCTGGAGACTGCTGAGCCCTGATCAATAACTAGGTTTGAACTGTGCATGAGATTATAGCGATGTGAACAACGTTTGGTGATTGGGATGCACTACGCTTGCTTATAGTTGTGTGATGTTAACTACAGTAAGGTTTTGTATTTAAAACCAGAAGGTGACATTAACTACATGAGCTCAAATTAAAAAACTACAATCCCTTTAAATGAAATAGTCATGAGGGAAATTTAGTTTTTATGTAACAAAGGTAATAAAAAGGTAACAACACCCCTCAGTGTAAACATTTAGGAGTTTTATCACGTTTTTGACTAGTGAATATTCTCATTATGAGGGTTGAATGAAAATTCTAATGTTTGACTTTCTTGAAGCTGAAAGTACTTGAACATTCAAAATGATTTGTAAAAGATACAGGCAAACTAGACGAACAAAATAAACTCATGTGTTCTCAAGTCTGATCATTTGTTGAAATCACTCAAAAACGTCTCCACCGCCTAAAACCAAATCTTTGTCTTTTTTTTTTTAACAAAGTTGTTGAAATGTTCTGTGAGAAGTCCTAAAGACACCATGATGAGAACAGCTGCACATTTTGTAAATAAATCAAGTTATACAATTTTTTATTTATGTATTTAAATGTGCCATTTCTACTGTCTTGATTTATTTCTGTTTATAAAAGTAAATCTCGACTCATTCGCCTTGTCGACCGACCTTTGCCCATTCCGAACGGTTCCCTCTGCAGCTCGCAGTACTCCATGCCAGGGATGAGGTCAAACAGAGCAAAAATCTGCTCCTGGGTGAGCGCGGCCCGTGTGGACAGCATCAGCGTGCGCGTGAATTCATTGTAGCGGAAATCCATGGCCGTGTAGCTCCCGGGATCAGCTGCTACAGGATTCGCTAACAACAGAAACCAAATGAGGACCATTTGAACAGGGATGAGGCTAGAAGGAATTACATTGTAAATGTTTTTTAAAAGGATATTCTGGTCATTTCTGAAGTTATGTTCTGTCAGTTACCAACATGGATCAATCAAACTTTATTTATAAAGACGTTCTCCTACACAAAGTGCTTTACACCTGACAAAACCAAACATTAAACAGCAGTAAAGAGAAACTGCAACAGGTTTGTGAAGGATTAAACAGAGGTGACCAACATGTGGACTGAAGAGCACCCAACGCTCCAAAATTCATGATTGAAACTCGTGCAGTCGTCTAAAAAGTTGTTTTCTCTGCAAAAAGAAGCTGAGAACTCGTTTACTGTTTTTTTTATTAAAAGCTTTGTGTGACGAAAGACATGCTAAAGAGCTCAAACCACACCGAGCGTCCGCCATTTTGAGAACCGGAATAAAAGGAAGGAGACAACCCATGTCACATCAAGGGGCCTCCCTTGACGAGACATGGGCAACACAAAGAGGGAAAAAAATAATGACTTAACAAGATTATAATTTTAAATTAAAAAAGTTAATTAGATAATGATAATAAAATAACACTTCTTCTTGAATGGTCATCATTTGTTATGAGGCAGGGCTTTAATCTGGTCCAGGGCTTGTTGACGATCAGTTTTATCTTTTTCATAAAGTGCTGCTACAACTTTTTGGCTGAAGTGTTGACGTGATGTGATGTCGTAGCGGGGCTCAAGAACTTTAAAGCCGGCGCATCAACAACAGAATTCGGAGGTAGATCCAGAGCTTTAAAAACTCCTACAGCTTGTGTTATTAATTTTGGACCGATCTGAATTACCTGATAAAGATTGTTTAAATGCTGCTGTTCTCAGTGTTTGCACCAACCAGGCTGCTATTCTGTAGAAGAGACGTTCACGTTCGGATCATGATGTTTCAAGCGCGTTAACAAGTTAGACGTGTTGCTGCTGCAGAGCCAATCTCCGTGAAACAACGTCGACACACAGCTTTGGGTTTGTTCACTTGTCTTTAACAAGAAAGCCATAATGTTCCCAAACAGGAGACCGCAACGACATGCTAGGTTGCTAATGCTGCGCGTGCTGCAAGATAATAGCGCCGTGCTGAAACACGCTTAGGAACTTTAGTTCCGCGGCGTATAATCTCTCGTTAATAAAATTTAATGAGTGAAAAAATAACCGAAACGGTACGCACGTGGACCGAACCGAACATGCCGTACCGAAACGGTTCAATACACCCACGTGTACCGTTACACCCCTACTCACCGATATAAAAGAAGCTGTTTTTGTATGAAAACCCAGTGACAAGGATGCCTGCAGTGCCAGCACAACGTGATGACGTCATGCACGCCTACCTGATCTGATCACGGTGGTGTGGAAGTTTTATTTCCCATTGAGGATGTCGGATTGTGAAGATTTTTGGACTACGCTGAGCCTCGCTACACTGTCCCCAAATATATTTTTACGACGTAGCCGAGTTACAAGCCGTCATTTTCAACGTCATTGAGAAGCTGATAGCACTTGGATGAGTTTTATCACAGACATTTGGACGTCAAGTGTTAGCCCCGTTAGCATGATTAGGCTTATAGCACAATGGATAGACAAAAACTTTGAACTTAAAAAAAGTCTGTCCTTCATGCACAGGAGTGCAGAGGATCCCACACTGCAGCTAGAAGGTCTTCAGTTCTCTCTTGTAAATGAGTCCCGGAGGCTCAATGGGATTAACCTGAATAAATAAAGAACCTGGAACAAGCCTCCACAAGTGAGAGAGCATCGCAGGTGACTAATGCTAATAAATAGCATTTAACACTTTCCATTTAATACAAGTTAAAGTGCTCTGCATATCATATGGCTGTTACTGAACATATGTCACCAGCTCTTACAGCTGTTACACAATTTTTGTAGCAAATAAGCCTAAATAAGAGGACTACGTTCTGACAAAGGAAAGTATGTAAGAATATCTGTATCGGTTATCAGACAAATACATTTTAACATATCAGCCAAAAATCCAATATCGTGCATCCCTAAAATATAAACACCGGTATAGATATATTTTTTCCTTCTTCCTTGGGCTGCTCTCTTCTTCAGGGATCTCCACAGCGAACTGACTCTCATGATGACTTGGCAACATTACGACCTCACCACTACGTTATTAACATCAAAAAAATACTTTCATGTCTTTTTAAATGGATTCAGAATCATTACTGTATTTCCTCATTGCAATTCATCGAAGAAAAATAATTACCGGTACAATCCCGATATTAAAACCAGTTTAAAGCAATGCTGAAATGCGCAGAGAGCTGATGCAGGGACTTTAAAAAGGGCATTCAGCTACAAACGCAAACGTTGAATGAAGAAAACAGAAGAAACTAAACTAACGGAGTCGTGAATAAGTGTTGAGGTTTCCTTTCAGCTAATGTGGCGCTGTGTTATTTTTCAGGAGAGGCCTGAAAAATGTGGCTGGTTGTAAGACTAGCGTAGACAGACTTCTCCCTCCTCCTCTAAACTCTTGACGCCACGGCTGAACAGGTCCTCACTGAGAACTGTCTGACAGAACATCACTTCAAAAATGACCAGACTGTTCCTTTAAACTGGGATGTCAAGTAGATGCATATTAATGGAGGTGAACTGAGTAAATGGGTCACCATAGCTGGAGTAATCCATTCTGGGTCCTGGTCCCATTATTCCTCCTCCTCCTCCTCCTCCGCCGCCGCCGCCTCCTCCTACTCCTCCTCCTCCTCCACCACCTCCTCCTACACCAGAGTAATCATCTGAGGTGTTAGCCTTGAATCGAGGTTCAGCCAGGATGGCCCTGTAAGCTACAGACAACCCCACAGCTTTAGTGAACACACACACGAACCATAAAGAACAGCAGCTCGCTGACATTTAAAAGATCTGAAGTCAACACAGTAAAATCATTTGGCACAGACTCACATTTGTCACAGTTCTCTATAGCGAGGGCAGCCTGGGAGGGCTTGTAGTACCTCACGTAGCCGAGTCCTTTACTTTCACCTGTGCTCCGGTTTTTGATAATGACACAGTACTCAATATCTCCATACTCCTGAAAAACAAACAGCACAGCAAAACAAGCAGAGGTAAGAATTCAGATTATTTTCACATGCAGCCATAAAACATGAAAACACACCGTCTGTGTGTGTCCGTTTGGCTGCCTTTGAACCACTGGACAGATGTGAATGAACGTCTCAGTTCAGCTAATCATCTTAGCGAACACAAACATGTCTGGAAGTAAAGTCAATCAGTTGTACAGATATTAAGCTAAAGTTGTTGTGATAGTAGTCGAGAATCATCCCCAACACATATTCATAGCTCTAATGTATCACATGACTTCTTCTTTTTTTTTTACTCTGGTGCCTAAGGTGATGGGTGACATGCATTCCTTATAGAAAAGTCACATTCACTGTGTGAACGTTTCAAAAATCTTTCTCACAGTTCAGTTTCTTCCATATGATTTTCAGGACACAGCTCGTTCCTCAGTTTCTGTTCTATTTCAACAATTCATGAATCAAAATGTTCGGCTCATTCAGGACAATCCTGCTGGGATTTTTAGTATTTATGCAAGTTTTACTTTTTGAAATATTTAGCTTTTTCAGCCACGTTTTTCTCAATGCAGATGAATGGAACTCCTTTGAAAACCTTCAAAGCCTTTGTGCTGTGTGCTGCTCATTTAAGCTAATGTTCTTCTTCAGCTGCTTTCTGCCAATTTCAGCTTCCTTCAGCCTTTTTAAAAAATGATCTTTTATCAGCTATTTTTCTGCTCCTTCCAGCTTCTCTGCTAATTTCAACATTTTATGCTCTTTTCAGTTCTTTCCGCTATTTTCAGCTGTAGTTACTTTTCTGCTCATTTAAGCTTTTTTGTATATTCCAATTCTAGTTTCAGCTTTATGTATTCTTTTCTGCTTAGTTTGTTAATTTTATCTTTTGGTGCTATTTCAATTCCTTCTCTGCTGATTGCAGCTGTTTTCAAGTTCAAGTCTATTTCATTGTCATTTCCATCACATGTGGTACATGAGGTGGAACAAAATTATGTGCCTGGTCCCAGTTACATCCAACAATAGCAAAATATAAAGTATAAAAATAAACAGTAAATAAGAAGACAAGGCTACTTTTGTGATCATTTCAGCATTTGGGATTATTTTCAGCTTCTATCAGCTTGTTTGTGCTCTTTCAACTACCTTTCTGCTGATTTTAGCTTTCTGGCTGCTTTCAGCAAATGTTCATATTTAACTTGCATTAGTTTAGTGTTGAAAACTTCTCGGCTAGTTTCAGCTTCTTCAGCAGATTTCAGCTAAAAATCATTCCACAATAAATACATATTCACACTGCATCATTTTCACAGGAAATAACATTTCTCTGGTTTAATCTGGAACGTGTTTCAGGCTCAGTGTTGAACTTTGTGGATGACGATGCTGAACTCTACAGAAAAACTGGTGTGGACTTACTTTGAATGTTTTCTTGAGATCCTCCTCTGTGAAGGTCCTTGGGATCATGACGAAAATCCTCGTCAGGTCCTCGTCCTCTACATCTCTGTGTTTTGTGGACGAACGTGACTGAGCGATAAATACCTTTAAACCAAGCACAGAAAATATATTCACATTAATCTTTATCGAGACAATCATAACTGTTAGTATATTCAGAGGTAAACTAATTTCATCTCTTAGTGTACTAGAGGAAATTATTTCAGTACAAAGTTTTAGTCAGTAAGATTTATTTATATTTTCCAACAGTCTTTAAATGCATCTGAAGAATGATCAGGGAGGCGGAGCCAGTACGGGCGCCTCTTCTGTTGCTAGGCTAACATGTTAGCATCACCTGGATTATTGAGCATGCATCAGGATGTTAGCATCAGTTGATTCTTAATTATATATTAAAGTAGGCAGAAGATAACACTGCATCCGCCACTTCTTGTAACTGTGACCTAGCTGAAGACGCTACCTTAATTGGTTTAGTTCCATCCACCAACACTTTTCCATGCATTTCCTCCATAGCTAAGCAGGCCTGTGAGGACCTGGCGTACTTCACGTAGGCGACGCCTTTGGACTCCTTTGTCTGCTTGTCTTTGACCCCCCAAACACCCTGGATGTCCCCAAATTCAGCAAACCTTTCCCGAATCTCATCTTCAGTTATAGACCGACTCGTGATCACGAAAAGTCGACTATTGGGAGGATCATCGAGGTTTTCGGGTATTTGTTTTACGGAGCTCTCCTCCATGTTGGCTTTTTTTTTGTGTGTGAACGTTAAAAGAGGGCGTGGCCTTTGGTGCTGCCTTCAAGCACTCCTTGGAAAACTCAAGTTGCAAATTTCAAAAACGTTCAAGCCAAAAACAACCGGACTTAAACAACCGGACTTTGTAACAGAAGACGTTTCACTCCTCATCAGAGGAGCTTTCTCAACTCAAAGAGCAGAGCGTGCGGGATTCAGGTTATAAAGCTGAGATAAGATACACATACATATATAGATTGACAAACCACACCTCACACTTTATAAGTAGGGGTTTCTTAAGGTCTTTCATAATCTAATTCACAGATGAGGCCCCTATGTTCCCATCTGATAGGTGTGAAAACTGGCTGGGTATAAGTCCTAAAGCTGCATTATAAGGTTTTGAAAGTTGAAATCTGAGACCTCCTCCTCTGTTAAGAGACGTTTTTTCTTAACATAAATTGCTTCCTTCACCTCCCTCTCAAACCATCTGTGTTCTTGTCCAGAGGAGGTGGCTCTCCTGTGTTGAGCCATGCGTCTGTGAAATAACTGTTTGGTTTCTCCAATGTAGAGGTCTGGACAGTCCTCGTTGCACTGAACTGCATACACCACACCACTCTGTTTGTGTATGGGTGTTTTGTCCTTAGGGTGGACCAGCCTCTGTCTGAGAGTCCTGCTGGGTTTGAAATGTAAATGGGATGATGTGCTTGTTGAAAATCCGTTTGAATTTCTCTTATACTCCAGCAACATAAGGGATGACGATGTTTTTACGTCTGTTGTTCTCCTTTTTCTGTTTAGTATTGTGTTTTGTAGATTTCCTCGCTGACTTGACAAAAGCCCAGTTAGGATATCCACATGTTTGGAGAGCTTCTTGGATGTGTTTCTGTTCCTTTTCCTTCCCTTCTGAAAGTTATAAATGAAAAGCAACTATTTTGGCAAGAGTGCTCTTTGTTAACAGCCTACATTCATAACCTTCTCCTACCTATAATAAAGTGTTTATTAATCAATATAGCTTTTGACGATTGTTAAACATCTGTACCCCCGGAGTCATTTATAAACTAACTTACTAACTACCTAACTAAATTTAAAAAATAAAAAAAAACAGAGGGACACCATAATATTGTGAAAAAATCTACAAGAAAGGAATAAGATTCGTGATAATCCCTAGTAAAGGTTTACTTCCTAGCTGCTCCTGAACGCATCATAAACGTGGGTCTTTCTGCACGTGATTGCGTAATGACGTAAAAAGCCGGTGCCTCTTAAACGTGGTGACCTTCCTTACGTCCGTCAGGAGCCAATTCGCTTGCGGCAGCGAGGTACATACTGTTCCTACGTCCAAGAGATATTTGCCCGGCACATTTTTAAATCTAAAGGTAATTTTATACTAAAATGATTTATTAGAAGACTAATAAGCGCGACTGTTTGTTCAGAATTAAAATGAGAGGGTGGTTGTAGAGTACCGTTAGTTTCTATGTTCGTGAATAGCTCGCTTGCTCTTTTTGCGTAGAGGCTGTACGGTTTAATAAAGCAAACCGTTATAATGGTGTAATGCGGCGCTTGTCTTGGTTTAGTCCGTGTTTGATACTGACACAAAGTTTAAAGGTTTCCCTGGAGATAGTTTAGACTACCTTAGCTCAAACAGCAGCGTCGTGTGCGCTGCTCAGACAGCGACATTGAAGCATCCTTGACATCCTGAATGGAAGATGGAGACCCGGCTAATCTTAGCAGCAGGCCAGTCCGGTCGACCTCAGCTCAAAGTCGGACAGTTTTCACCTACAAGTTATGAAATGCTGATCTGAATTGAACAAACCCGTTGTTTTTTTTTTATTTCTGAATCAGAAAAACGACCGTGAAGTGTTCTACAAACCAGGAGCTAAATCTTTTCAGTCGAGCTAGCATCCTGGTTACCATCACTCCTGTAGGTGACCAGTTTTATTAAAACTTTAAATCTAAGCGCTTTGAACAACTAGAGGTCACCTGAAGATCATCAGTTGACCCTCAAGCTAAAACTAATATAATAAAGATTAAAGTAAGAGGAATTATTCTTGTTCCTCCACATGTTTGATTTAAACACCTTCAGCTAAGTTCATTAGTGTCGGCTCCTCTTCGTAAGACTTACACAATCAAAGCTGTCCCCATCGGATGTTCAACCTTTAAATCTAAGTTTAATTACTCTGTAAACCTGGCTGCTTCATCTGGGTAGTATTACCAGCAGAGGGTTAGTTTCCTTGATTTAAGCTGAGCAGAATAACTGGTTTGACTGGTGTGAAGGGCAGAAGGAGATGTCTCCTTCTTACAGAGGTCACAGGAGAACCCATAACATCATTTAAACAGGCAGAATCTATGCCTTCACGATTACTGGTTATTTTCTACATTTATGACTTAAATCATCTTTTTCCTTATTCCTGCTGTATCCTGTTTGCCCTCTGTCCCCCACAGCTGATTATTATGGGTGACGTGGAGAAAGGAAAGAAGGTTTTCGTCCAGAAGTGTGCTCAGTGTCACACAATCGAGAAAGGGGGCAAGCACAAGGTGGGCCCAAACCTCTGGGGTCTGATGGGACGCAAGACCGGACAGGCAGAGGGTTTCTCCTACACAGACGCCAACAAGAGTAAAGGTCAGTTCAGTCATGGCTCAGTGAGAAAGATTTATATTATCGTCTAAAAAAAGCAGGTGGTAAAACTGCTACAAATGTCAGTTCAACACACAATGAGCTACAAATTAACGTGTCATTAACGACACGTTCTGCCCATTAATGTGCTGCACAAGCTTTAGCAGTATCGCTCCAACTGCATCATTTTACAACATAAGATGATCTTAATTTATAACTCTGGCATGAGAAGCAGCAGGCGATACGCATTCCTTCAAGAAATTATAACATATTTTATAACATTTTGTGATAGTTTTTGTTGAGCTTTGATTTCATTTTCCCCCCCAGGTATTGTATGGAGTGAGGAAACCCTGATGGAGTACCTGGAGAACCCCAAGAAGTACATTCCTGGAACCAAAATGATCTTCGCCGGCATCAAAAAGAAGGGAGAGCGCCAGGACCTGATCGCTTACCTCAAGGCATCAACGTCATGAAAACGATCAAACAACCTGAAGATTAAACTTTTGTTTTTCTTTCTTCTGACCATCTACATTCAGAACGGTTTTATGTTTAGTCATTTGTGCAGATTTGTTTCTGTTATTCAGAAAAAGCAGCTCTTCGTATGAAGTGTCGTGTCATAGAAGTCATTCAAGTGACGAAACATAAAACTGCAGCACTTTTATTTATTTTTTTGTGAATGTGTCCTAACAAATCTGAATTTAAAACGGCTAATCTCATTTAATCTGTTCTTCATGACAATTAGTAACTTCAAAAAACTTGATCTAAAGTCAGCGACAGAGTGTGGAAACAGGAGATTTGGTGCTCGATCTAAATTTGCTCCCTGGTTTCGGGGGGAGTTTTTAACTTTTCAACTGATGCAAATTCTCAGTCTGAATCTTGACAATACCTCTTTTTGTGTTACATTACTGCTGGGGAACTCCCTCGTGGCTACAGACCTGGTTAAGACAAAACACCGATATCTGCTTTTTCGGCTAACGTGGCACGTTGAATATTTATTACTGCCACGGTGAGGTGGAGTGAAAGCAGCTGGCGTACGATCACCATGCCTAACGGGAGAAAGGAAAAACACAAATGAGTGAAGGATTTTATTTACCTGGTTTCACAGGCTTCACACCTCTTTTATTGTTTGACTGTAATCTGTATTTTAAATATTTGGTGGTTATGTCGTCTGATTGTGGACAGAAAAGCTAAACGATCAATAAAAGGAAAACTTCACAACTCAAACGTGGATTTCTCTTCAATCCAAGGTTCCTCTGACAATTGTGCAGCTAAATCCTTTTGTAGTTAACACAAGCTCTCATGCACGTGTTTGTATCTGATTTTTAGCTAGTGCTCTTCTTTACGCTGCTTTTAGTTTTGGCTGTTCTGCCACGCCTGCTCCTCTGCAGTCTCTGTTACAGGGTTCGCTGGGTCTCTCCGAGTCTTTCTGGGAAGCCAGTCAGCTGCAAGCAGCTCGGCTGGGATTAGTGGCCCCCACACCCCAGACTAAAGCTCATCTAACAGCAGCGACATGACAGGAATGTCTTCAGCCACGTCTACTGTCCGAGGAGCTGAGTAAATTTAGCAGGCTCTCAAGTCGCAAACAACGGAAATTACATGTAAAAAAAACTATAAGAATCATCATTAAGTTCATTTTAACTGGGATTACGTCCTAATTTTAATCTTGAATAAGCATTTATTTCCTGTTGGCTTCATCAAAGTGAAGTTTGAACAGAAACTGACATTAATAAGATATTTGTGGACACCTGGAGTCACTACTACAAACTGTTGGACCAAAGCAGAACCAGGCTTTCCACGAGTCACTTCTTTGTCATTCAGCAACCACATTCAAGATGGCTGCCTCGGCCAACTCATACCTGGAAACGCAAAACACAGATAGTAACTGAGAGTCGTTCACAAAACAGTTCTGAGGGCTAACAATCCGTTTCCAAGCTTTGCTATGAACTGTTGGACTGAAGAGTGTTAGCAAAATAACTCGACACATTGCAATGAAACTCCCAGTGATCCCTGGACGTGCGTCTACGTCTGATTAACTTGGAGAGTTTGTTCCGTTCAAGATGGACGCCACAGCTAGTGAACAAACACGAGTGTCTTTAAGCTGGTCTGTAAGTTTATTTGATCAAGGACAGCACAATAAACAATGTTAAAAAACAAGCAACCGCTGTTTTGTACGAAGGTTTTCTAGCTAATTTGCAAACCCAGTCCTTGGTTGGGCTTTTTTTTTTTTGAAAACAGCTAAAACAGAACTACAATTAAATTAAAATTAAGCAGTTCCCTCCCACACGTGCCTGCTTCTCCATCCCCATAGCGTTCACAGATTCAGCCATTGCTTCACCTGGGAATTAACAACTCTAAAGATCTGTTCATGTTTTGATTGCAGATGGTAAACTGTTCCAAACACGAGGCCTTTAAATGAGAAGGAGCATTGACCGAACGATGTTTTGTATTTCACAGGTTTGCAGTCTCCATCAACTGCACCTCTTGTTGCAACTCCTGTGCTGCTGACTTTGAAAATCATTCTAGGACCGTTAAGGCATTGAAAAGTCAATTTTAAACAATACATTTATTTTTAAATGGTCAAAGCTTAAGAAATTATATTTCTCCAGGACTATTTTACAGTGGTGCCACTTCAATGATTTTTTTTATTTCTTTTTGGTCTAAAACTTTCAGCGCTTGTGCAAACAATTCATTCAACCTTTACAGGTTAGTCTCGTTGAGCCACGAGGACTCGTTTACAAGAGAGACCTGTTCTAGACAACAATAACAGTAAACACTTACAACAATAAACTGCAGTAAAATGTAGCTAAAATAAGAGTAGTGCATATTTTTTTTAAAAACAGCTAAAATAGACATCCTCATAGGTATAAACTCATAAATATTTGTATACATATATGAACATATACATATTGTAAATGTGTGTACAGTATGTATAAACGTATCATAAACATCCTCATAGGTTTTAAAGCAGATTGAGCTGCTTGGCTCCAGTTTGAGAAATGAGACAGAATCATGGCGTGTTGGTACAACTGAGCAGATTTTCCACATAAACATGATCTTATAAGACGAAAACAATTCATCTTTGTCCTTATGGTTTTAAACACTTTCCTAATGTGAGCCTCAAAGTTAAGGTGGGAATCTAGATGACACCCAGATATTTAAACTCCTCCACTTTTTGGATTTCTCTCTGATCAGTCACAATTAAAAAGTTACAGACTTTACCACTGGAACTACTGGTTCTTTGACTCGCCATAACTTCTATACAGGCGCGTCTAAAAATAATAGAATATCATGGAAAATCTCTATTTTCTTCATCAGTCACTTCAGAAAGTGAAACTCGTGTATTCCGTAGATTCATTACACACAGTGAAATATTTCAAGCCTTTATTTGTTGTAATTTTGATGATTATTTCTTACAAATAACGAAAAAACAAAATTCGATGTCTCAGAAAATTTGAGTTTCACATAAGATCAATAAAAAAGACATTTTAAACACATCAGAGCATCGAGGTGATCAGCCTGTGGTTCTGCTGAGGTGTAATGGAGCCCAGTTTGATGGTGGTCTTCAGGTCATCTGCATTGTTGGGTCTGGTGTCCTACCTTCCTCTGGATGATGACCTATAGATTCTCTAAGGGGTTCAGGTCAGGAGAGTTTGTTGGCCAGTCAAGCACACCATGCTCAGTGAACCAGGTTCTGGTTCCTTGGTCAGTGTGGGCCGGTGCCGAGTTCTGCTGGAAAAAGAAACCATCATCTCCATGAAGCTCGTCAGCAGAAGAAGCATGAAGTCTCTAAAATGTCCAACAATTTTCAGTCAGGTCATCTGGACAGTTTATTTATTTATGTATTTTGTGCTGAAACATTTCACCTTCCATCCAGAAGGCTTCATCAGTCAAGGAAACACAAAACTGATTCTTCCCCCAAACAGCTTACTCCAAAGTGGAACAAACCAGTTATGTTGGTGCTAAGATGGTGTCTTTGGCACGCCACCCCCCCCACCCCCCTTTCTGGTGCCGGCCCTCCGGAAGAATCAGTTTTGTGTTGTGTGTTTCCTTGACTGATGAAGCCTTCTGGATGGAAGGTGAAACCTTTCAGCACACACAAAAAAAGAAACTGTCCAGATGACCTGACTGAAAATTGTTGGATTGTATACTTGGATTATTGAGCATGGACTTTGTTGGTCTTTAAAATGTCCTGCTAGATGTTGTGTGGACTGTGGACTTCAGAAAATCCAGTGGACCAGCAGCACCAGAGGACATGGACCCAAACCATCACTGACTGTGGAAACTTCACTCTGGACTGAAACAATGTGGATTCTGGACCTCTCCACTCTTCCTCCACACTCTGAGAGCTTGATTTATAAATGACATGAACATTTATTTGAAAAGAGGACGCTGGACCACTGAGAGACAGTCCAGGTCTTTTTATCCTCAGCAGGTAAGACACTTTTGATGTTTTTGCTTCAGTTTGACTTGAGAAATGAGACATTTGTAGCTCATGTCTAGGAGTTAATCAGTTGATTAGGTTGTGACACCATGAGTTTACAGTGTTGAACCATCCATCCATCCATCCATTATCTTTACCCGCTTATTCCATTTTGGGTCACGGGGGTCGCTGGTGCCCATGTCCAGCGTTCACTGTGCGAGGGGCGGGGTACACCCTGGACGACTCGCAAGTCCATCACAGGGACACATAGAGACAAACGAGACAAACAGCCATTCACTCTCTCACTCACACCTAGGGACAATTTAGAGTTACCAATCAGCCTAACATGCATGTTTTTGGTCTGTGGGAGGAAACCGGAGCACCCGGAGAAAACCCACGCATGCACGGAGAGAACATGCAAACTCCACCCAGAAGGCCCCTGGACCGGGGTTTGAACCAAGGACCTGCTTGCTGAGAGGCAGCAGCTCTACCAGTTGCGCCACCGTGCTGGCCCAATGTTGAACCTCTTAACAATATTATTATTTTCTGAGACACTGATTTTTTTGTTTGTTTTTTCATCATCTGTAAGTTATAATCATCAAAATTACAAGAAATAAAGCCTTGAAATATTTCACTCTGTGTAATGAATCTATGGAATATACGAGATTCAGTTTCTGAAGAGATTGACAAAAAAATTAAACTTTTTCCACAATATTCTAATGATTTAGATGCACCTGTCGTTCACCTTTCAGCTCTTTGTATTTCTCCAGAGTCTACTTGGTTGTGGTTGACATTTGCCTGTGGAACTCCAAGAGTCCTGGACATCTGCATTGTTGCCTTCAGGTAGACGAACCCCTTCACTTGGGATCACCTTGCATCTCTAGCATTCAGCTGCATTTGTCCAGTCTGAATGGCATGCTAATATCTTTGCTGATATCCTGGTGAGGTGGATCAGTGATGTGCACAGCTTCATGTCAAAGGAGGTGATTGGTGATTGTTCTACTTTGGAACCAGTATCAAGAGCCATTCTTTGTGCTGATCTGTCTGAGGCGGTTCGGGCCCATGCAGAACTTGTGTACGTGTGTGCTCACACGATGCTCGTAGGCCTCAGAAGCCACCGTTTGTGTCACTGGGAATAAAGATGCTACACAGTTACAGGATACAGTTAAAACTTATCAGAGTCAGAGTCAGAGTTTCTTTATTGTCATTCGCACCTCATGTGGTACATGTGGTGGAGCGAAATTATGTACACGGGGTCCCAGTTACATCCGACAATAAAATGTATAAGAAAAACAGTAATAACATCTAAGATATGAACTAAGAAAAACATCAACTAAATATACACTAAGCACTCATAACATAAAACATGAAGATGGTGGTATTAAAGCAATATATTTTGAAATAATGAGTGGCGTATTAAAACTTAAATGGCTTCAATCTTTTCTTAAAAATGCTCATGAGGTTTGGTTTGCTGTCCCCACTTTGGTTTTTAGTAAAGTTGGAGGTATTGACTTCCTGTTAATATGTGACTTTGACATTCCTAAATTACCTGTTAAATGATCTGCTTTTCACCAACAGGTGTTATTAAACTGGAAAATATCATACAAACATAACTTCAGTCCTCATAATATTCCTTTTTGGAACAACAGAGTCGTTCTACACAGAAGGAAGTCTGTGTTCATGGAGAAACAAAAATGGTCACTCGCTCATCTAATGGATGAAAAGGGAAATCTATATGAATATGAAGAATTCATTAAAAAATTTAATCTAACCTGTACCAAAAAAGACTATGACAGAGTAATAA